ATTCACCACATTGTATGGGAAATAAATACAATGTAACGTTACTCGTAGACGAGACAACGTTCCATACGTCGACTTTACGTCAGTGGCATGCTACCAGCCAATCCGTCTAAAGCCTGTAAATCCCCTAAAAAAAGCAAAAATACCACCGAGTACCCAGCGTCGATGCGAAAAGTGCAATCTTCTCTCGGGTGAAGCTCCTTTATCTAATATGAAAATTCTTTCATCGATCGACCAGAAACTCAAAAGCGAGAGACTAGCGCAGCCGGCCTCGTACTTTCGAGCCAGGGGGGGTTGAATCCACCGGTCTTTCGCTGCTGTCGAGCACAGAAGACGAGAGAGGGGGGGGGGCACACCGCACGTATATATGTATGTGTAAACGGATCAGGCGTGCACCGAGCGTCAAACGCGCCCGTATCGTGTCTGACGTGTATCGGATTAGAACTACTGCCTGCACCCGGTATACTGCACGCATGTGGGCATTACTTACGCACCTACCTATACACGTACACGTAAGCATGTGTGGCTTCCTCGTACCGATCGTGTACGTATAGTTGGTACCACCATAGTGTCCAAATGATCGACTAACGCTGTATGTATGTGTTTAATAAACTATACACGGCGGAGAGTCGAGCGTTGATTAATTGTATCGGGCTGTATGTGTGATATCTATTATTGCGCGCGAGAAGCGGCGAGTCGTTTCCTCGGTTAGCCGATAATGCACGCCAGTTGCCGCGCCAAGGCTCTTTGCGAAATGTGCTGCTGTACGAGCGACCACCAGCACGGCTGAATTAAGTCGAGGATAAATGGCCGAGTCGTGAGCAACGGCGCGAATACAGAACGCGGGGGGACACGGATGGAGGGAATTTCGGGCGGTGATTTGGGTAATGTTGCCCGGGAGAGCTTTTTCTAACATAAAAGAGCCCAGGCTGCCGTAGAAATTTCGTAAATGGGTGAGAGTAAATTCTTGTTTTTCTTGGACCCATCGATCAAGCGCGCGTCCCAGGGATAAACGATGGATCGATCGATGCGCGCTTTTAATTTTTCCTTGCCTATGATAGGGTACATACACACTGTTTGGATGAAAACTTCGTTCCTGGAATCTATGTTGGTATGATAAATTTTCGTGGAAGCTGTCATTTGACATTTTGAGCAATCGTGGTAAAATATGAGCTTATGGTTTTACATACTAATGAATCTTTTTCGATAGTAGGTACTTATCCATATAATAACTGGTGTACTTTCCAATTGTAGAAAAAACTTTGATTCTTTTCCAAAAGTATGAAATATAATGGTAAACACGTGTTGTAAGTTTGTTATGAATAATCGTAGCATATATTTTGTGCCGTTGAAAAAAAAAAATAAATAAATAAATAAAAAAATATTATAGCAGCGCATAAATGATAAGCGAAACCATTTTAAAGCTGCTCGATTACAAGACTTTCGCATCAAGCCAATCTTCCCCTTCCGACGTTTTCAATCTGCCACGAGAACCGCCAGGTCTGTACAGGCTATATGGAAGGGCACTCGGGGTTGCTATATTCATGAAATCCCGAACGAGGCCTGCTCCTCTCTGGAGCCTTGTATTTTGGCAACACTTCCGTTTTAACTCCAGCCAATTGGGACGTGCGATAACTCAGAAGCCCCCGCTCGGCTCGCAATCGATCCTATACATCCTCTACAACACCAGTTCCCTGCCCCTCGTGGATTGTACGAAGCCACTTCGACAGCAGAAAGCTCGAAATGAAGCACTTTGCGCCCCGAGATTGCTCCCCCCGTCTCATTCCACCCGCTTCGTACAACACTGCTCTTTTTTTTTTTTTTTGCTCAACTATTTCTTATTTTTTACCGGCCACGTAATTTACTCCAGGGCACTTTAGCCCTGGCTTCATATAAATTTTAGCATTTTCGGGACGTTAAAAGCCAGCTCTTTTGGGTTAATTATGTGCATCGGAGTTTTCCAGGGGATGATTATCAGCAATGTGAAACGCAAAAATGGCAAACAATGAGTGACAAATAATTAAATTAAAAACGAATTCATTCAACTCGACTTTCTTGGTTGTCTTAAGAAAATAAGTTGCTTTTTGAAGTTGAATCAAAGTAAAATAATTTTAATTTATTGAGTGTGTTTAAAAAGTGAAAAAAAAAAACAAAAAAAAAACAAAAACTTTAACATTTATTTATAAAAACTTGTCTTTTTTTAAACACATTTTATTTTGGCTGATGTATTTGAGTAATAAATTAAAAAAGCATTGTTTCATGCTTCCGTTTACTGTTAAAATTAATCTCTCGACGCACAAACGATAAACTATTATCGATTCTCATTTGAATTCTGTTAAAAACTCGCTGGATTTACGGCAAACGAATAGCCAACAAAAGAAAAAAAAAAGCCATATTTGCCCCTTTCGCAATAAAATACAATCATCCGGATGCCGGGACTCGATTGCAATGATTCAAACGCGGCGGCGCATGGCCAAAGAAAACAAGAAATCGATGACAAAAGGCCAAATCTATCATCAATTTGCATAATCGCAGCATCGAGCAAAATCTGCTGTGTATCCGCGTGAAAAAGGACCGGCAAAAAGTGGAAGTAGGTGGACGGCAGCTCGAGCTCCTCCACCGCACGCCCATTCACCTCCTCGTAAAAAAACCCCTCATACATCTCCCAATACACGTCCCATTGCGTTTCCATTTCTCTGAGACGCGCACCAGCGTATCCGCACGACATTCAGTCAGTCTGAAGACTTTTTTTTTTATTCCCGAATCTCTTCTCTCCTCCTTGATTTATACATCGCCAGAGCGGAAGAGAGAGTCTGCGTATACGCACCCACTTGCCAAGCTGATCCTTCTTTCCGAGTGATTGATACGCAGCCTCCAACCCCAGGGACCCTTCCTTCTGATTCCGCTTCGTTATTAAGGGACCTGCAACCAAGGACGCGCGCCCCTTCGGCTGTACATACATCGTGCGATGTATTCCTTCATCCTCCACTAGGCTCACCGGGGGGACGATATTTTTTTACCTTTCAATCGTCCTTCCCGCTCGTTTCATGCTCGTCTTGCCCCTTTTTTGCGTGGGCCCTTCCGACTACTCGAGGAGCCCCTTTATTTCCATCCCCTCGTTTTCTTTGTCCATTTTGAATGGCCTTCTTTCCTATAGGACGCGGAATTGCGAGCGCACAAAAGAATCCTGGAAGAGGATGTGGCTGTAGAGGCGAATTGTCAGAATGGAAAATGATTTATGATGCCCGAGGACAAGGTGCTGACTCCGTACGGAATGATTTTGTGGTAAACAGGAATTTTCGTATACTTCATTTCGCGCGTTACACCTGCGAACATTTGTCTACTTCTGCGGAGCACGGATAGTGCAAACTTTTCAACTTTTTTTTTCTCTTTCTCTTTCTTTACAAATTCAACGCTTTTTAATTTTTAATGGGCAGAGCGAAAAGAACTTTTCTCTGTCAATTTTGAGGAATAATAGGAGTCCAGCCTGCGGCACCTCACCGACCTAACGGTACCAAACGTTTTTCATTTTAACGAAATTGGTGAAGTCAAACAAAAAAAAAATTTTTTTAAACGATAAAAATCAAACCTAGCACCCACAGTAACAATTCAAGTTTTTACTTGTGTTTTCTAGTTATAACAATGGTACGACTTTCTTTGCATAAGCCGAAATCGCTGGTTACGGCGTAGAGTACCGAGCGGTAAAAAATATTTTTGTAATGGAAATGTCGAGAAAAACTCGCTGAAGAAATAAAATATTCCAGACGTTATGAAGAAAACAAAAAAAAGCTTTCAGCAGAAGAAACCGAAATGGCTAAAAAAAAACCGGCACCTTCATCCGCACAAATGTGGGGCTCTCGTAATATCGCGTTGCATAATGGATCAGTTACTTCAGCATGTTGTCAAAGCTCTGGATCAAAGAGCTTCTCGACAAAAAGCATTGTCAAAAGAAAAAAAAAAAAAAAAAGAAAAAAGAAAAAAAAAGCATGTAAATTAGCTCTCTTTGGACTACAAAAGACCGGCTCTCTCACAAAAAAGTACAAACACGAGGTCTCGTTTAGCGAAAGCCAGTGTATTTTCCGACATTTAGAAAACACAATTGCTCGGTATTCTTCAAAAGACGGCAATTTCTTGCTCTTCCCCTCAGTTTTAACTCATCGATCCATGTGGACATGAATATATTGTACAGGCCCCCCATGTGGCGGTGGTCAATTGCAACTACACGACGAGCAAACTCGTTCGCCGCAAGTCCTCGCTTCTTCCTTTGATACCCGTGTGCTGCGCGTGTCCACGATACACCACGGAATCCCTCGTCGTTCCAGTTTCTCGCACTTCTCACGTGTCGAGGAAGAGGGAGAGGGAAAGAGAGAGAAAAAGAGGTCATATACTTTTTCATGCACAAAAGTCAACCAACGTACGTACGCTTATGTGTGCACTACTCGAACCTTTAAACGTATCTTCATAATCGATGTCATAAGGAAGTGCATTTTTCAATGATGTAATTTACTGTCACGTTATTCCCATTAACTATTTTCCTTTAGATCCAAATTAATTTTACTTCTTATCCAACATTTTAAAAAATGGTAATTTCGGGTAAATTTAATTATTTATTGGATTTGGCCATAATATTAGCGACAGATTAAAATAAGAAATGTTCGTGGAAGATATTTTAAAACCACGACGCACCACTGATAGTTGAATAGCAAATTAAATACATTTTTAGTTCATACATTCGATTATTTACTCAATATTGAATCATCGGACGACAACGATTTTTAAAAAAAGGAGGATGTATATAAGCTCATAAGTACCAAGAAATCCAAATCTTGGTGCTAATATCAATTATTTGAGTATAAAATACGTTATTGTTCGAAAATGATGAAAAAATAAAAACAAACCTGTGACATGAGTAGTAAAAATGAAAGAATAGTATATACAGAGAGAGGGAAAAAAAAAAAAAAAAAAACAAGGGACTAAACAGGAGTTTGAATTGTCTGTTGCAGAGACGGAAGTGAGATCCCCGCGTTTTACTGGACTGAGCTGGCTCGCGTTTCCAGCGTTGCACGCAGCCTACAAGTATGTCCAGCTAGAGCTCGAGTTCCGGCCCGAAGCGTGGGACGGTGTGTTGCTGCTCGCCGGTGAAAGGGACGACCTGCAGGGTGACTTCATGGCCCTGATCCTTCACCACGGATACGTCGAGTTCAGGTAAGACGAGAACAACCATAGTATATCTGCCTTTCTCATTTTCGTATTAATTAAAAAATAACACGAAAAATTGTAAAGAGTAATATCGTACTTGTGCATATTAGTAGAAATTGTCATTTTCTTCGTTTCCATTTTATTTTTCTCGATATAATTAGTTTGCTACTTTTAACTGCAGTTATGTAGGTTAGTAGATGCAGACGTTTCTTCCTACCATCATCAAAAAATAGACAATGTTGCATAAAAATGGTGGGTTTCAAAATAACTTTAAAATCACGAGGCGACTAGTATGAGCTTGTAAGCTCGGAAATTACGTATCCAGAAACAACAAGTTGCCCATTAATCAAATTGATTATTCTCTCGACATATACGTTGCACGGATGTGTTTGTACACGCATACGACCGATGAATGTTCCACCATTCGGATATTAATTTCAATAACACGTGTAATATTTGCGTGGAACAACACACGTCGTGCGTGAATTCGTGTCATTATGTTTTGTCGATGCTACGTGATTCATGTCACTGGAAAATCTAGACTTAGAGCAGCTTCCCCTAGAGATTAATCGAATCGAATTAAAATTAACCTAAGATTGTTTTATTGTTTATTGTTATTTTTTCGACTTTTAATTCGATTTGTTTGCGTTATAAATGAGTTTGGCTTACTTGTTTCATTATATTTTACATTTTATAATTTAATAATAAAATTCAATCGAACATTTTGACGAGAGCAGTTAGTTTTATGATAGTCCTGTAAACTTGTTTTAATTTTCCTTTAATCCTCTACAAAAATATTTTCTTTCCACTTTATTTTTCCATATCAAAAACTGAAGTAAAGGTTTAAACCATGACTTTTTCATTTTCTTTCAGTATGAAAAATTCAAATACATAATGCTACACCTCCATTCAACGCAACTTTTACAATATAAATGAGCTTCGAGTGATTCTGCCTACCGTAAAAACTTCAAGACGGAAAAATTGCTTCGTACTAAAATTGCAAAAAAAAAAAATTAATTTTTTTAAATACTCGTCGACAAAATTGTAGGTACATATGCAAAGGGCTGCGACTCTCGAAGCAATAATCCATCATAATTAAGTAAAGCTACGCGACATGCAAAGTAGAAGTAAATAGTAGTGGTAGTCCCGCGAAACGACCGCGAACAAACTTTTAGTCATCCTTCTTTCGTATATTAAAACGCGCTTACGCATTAAAATTCCTCGTAAAAAAAGTAGGGAGGGTAGGGGGGAGGGAAAAAAAGAAAAGAAATAAAAACAAGAGAAGTGCTGTAACGAAAAAATATGGGGTGCATACGGCAGAGTTGTAAACGCCCACGAGATCAGGAGTGATAGCCGGATAGCGACGTCGTTAGCACAGCCACTGCGTCTAACTGCATAACGTATATAGGTATAGCAGGCACCCGTGCCGGGGTGGAGGAAGGGGGTGCAAAGCCGAAGCGAAGAAACGGGTGTACGACGAGGGAGGAGCGAGCCGTGCAACCAGGCCAAGTTTTTACTTTGGCGAGGAGTTTGAGCAAAAATGAATGCGCATACCGACCCTCACCTCGATGCGCGTGACTTTCCGCTCTCAAAGCGTGTGTGTACGTGTGGTGGGTGCACTCCGTTGAAATGATCCGCGACCGAGGGGCGAAAGAAAAAGGAAGCGAGAAAAATTCGAAAGCTTCAAAGAAGTTTTGCACGGGCGTTTAAAGACTCCTTTAATATATACGCACATATACCTATAAAGCTCGGATAAATTGTCTGGAAGCCGTTTGAAAGGTATTTATATTTATTTAGCCCAACTATTTTGTCTTCACTTTCATAAGCATATATATGTACACGGTGTACGTACAATATTGCTTCAAAGTTACTCAGTGCGTTCAACTAAACCTTCAAAATTATAATTAAGTGGATAAAAATCTGTACAGCTCGTCGATAAATTCAGAAAATGAAATTTTTTTCTCGATATAGCTGGATGTATAGGTATTTTTCTGATAATTAGCTTAATTGTTCTTTCAATAGCTCCCGCAAATGATACGCTTGACTGGATACATCATGAAAATATTGGTTTACACGGAGGAACAGTGAAAATGGAAAAAAAAACAAATCACCGCGTTTATACCGTACCCAGATGATGAAAAAAAAAACGCCCTTAAGCACGTGAGTCCTGACAACAAACAAACACGCATACCTATATGTACCATTGTAGGTACACGATCGTGCTTACGCATGTATACGCCTACAGGTTATAGAGTCCCACCATTGTGCGTCCTTCTGGATGTACATATTGGTCTTGACATTTGTTGTCACAGCTCACAGACATACACACAAAGGGGAGTGGAGAGAAAAATATGGCACGGATCTGGGGCTGACTAATACCTTACGGCTAGTGTGCCATACAGCAAATGCCAAAGCAGCCGACAACGCCGGTAAATTAAAGGCAAGAGGGGATAGGGGTGGGCGTCGTTTTCAAAAGTCGCGGGTGCGATTTATTCACGCGAAACGCTCGCTGTGTGGGTGTCCTCGACCCACAAAACTCTCAACCCTTTCGCGACGAGAAGAATCGCTGCGCTCGGGGTGTAGTATAGAGGAAAGCTCGGAGAGGACTTTCCTGGTGCCGAGAGACAGAAACGCGTTTATCTCGGTTGACCCATTTCGTGTGTACGAGGGGTGGTGCAGGAGGAGAGACCGTGAAACCAGAGCCCAGATTTCGAGGGCTCGTTTGAATAGCCGAGTCGTGCGCCAGCCGCGTGTGATGGAATATCGTAATACGAGGAAGCGCGACATGCGGCTCGCCCCCGCTACAGCTCGTTCGTTGAGGGAACTTTTTTTTTTTTTTTTTCAATTTGGTAGTTACCATTTTTTTTCCAAATTTTGTTTTTCCTCGAAAACTCTCGTTGGTTTGCGTCATGAAACGCGACTCTCAGTAGTATTTTTTTTTGTCTGTCAAAACGTGGAATTTTTATGCTTGTTACAGTTCGTGCTTTTTTTATTCGTCCTAGCGGATATTATTTTTACTTTTGAAGTAATATTCGGACAAATCCGGGAGGTGAGTTTGATTTTTTTTTTTTTTTATTGGTTTTGAATTTTTACGTTTTATTTAATGATGAAAAAAGTTTGTTCACCAGTTGTACCCATAGAACCGAAATTTTTCGAATTTAAATATCACGTTTCTCCTTTAAATGAGAATGATTTTGTAAATATTTATTTTGGTGTTATTACAAAATACAGACTCTAAATTTTTTGTTTGGAGTTGATTATAATTCAGATTTTTCGGTATAAATTAGTATCATGCTTTTTTTTAAATAAAGCGTGGAACAACACACGTCGTGCGTGAATTCGTGTCATTATGTTTTGTCGATGCTACGTGATTCATGTCACTGGAAAATCTAGACTTAGAGCAGCTTCCCCTAGAGATTAATCGAATCNTTGCCATCTTGATAGCCAACCTCTCGAGGTGCGCCCCCAGCCGAAGCTTTTTCTTTATCGAGCATCGGCTCAAGTGTTTTCGAAATAAATTTTTCCGAAGCACTCGACTCGTCTGACAATGGAATAGCTGAGCTTAATGCATCGCCAGCAGCGACAAAAGGGAGCCGCTCTCTCTTTCTCACGCTCCCTGGGACTTGGGCTCTTTTCACGCCGCCGGAAGCAGGACACTTTACAAACGAGGTCGAAGTCTCTCGATGAATCTACAAAATAGCCAATAGCTCCTTCTCGGTGGAGGGCGTCGGGGCTTGGGAGAAAGATCGCGCGAAGACTGCTGCGTCGTTTGCGCCTCGGGACACGGGATTAGTGCCCAACTGCCGCGGGAGCATCTTCTTCCGCTTCGTCTTTTTCACCTTTTTTTTTTTTTTTTTTTTTTTTTTTTTTTTTTAAAAAAAAATACATTTTTGCCAGCTTTTTCTTTGCTTTCATTTTGCGCAACGAGAGGTATTAAAAAAACTCGGAAGCGAGATTTAAAATTAATAAGTAGGGACTTTTATATTTGATGTTCCAGATTCGACTGTGGCAGCGGAGTCGGGATTGTGAGAAGTTTTGAAACCGTGAAACTAAATGAGTGGAACGTACTAAACATCTATCGGCATCGCTGGGATGCGTGGCTGCAGCTGAATCAAGAAAAACGAGTTCAGGGCAGATCAAAGGCAAGCAGCTGAAAGCTTTATTACTAATTCGTAAAAATAGGTTAAGCTTTAAATGGAAATGTTTTCATAAAAAAAGAAGCGTCATTAAATACAAAAACTGATAATTTCAGTGAAATAGCAAAGCTAATAGAAAAAAATCTTCAAAACCCAGACATACATTTTGTGTTTATTTTAAAGTGGTGCAGAAAGGACCCCGCAAAAACCGTAAAATTTTTATGAAAATTTTTACGTGCCTACTTTTAGTGAGTTCAAAACAAGCATTGATAATTTTCTGTGAAAATTAAACTATTTGTTAAAATATTTACTTTGCAAAAAGATTTTTAATCAAAATAGCTGCTCCCAAAAATTTTTTTATAAACCTATTGTAAATACTTATTAAAATTGAGTAACTTCTACGTTGGTTNAAAATAATTTTCATTTTAGTATCAAAAATAAATCTAAATTTTTATACTTAATCTTTAAATTAATTTATAATAAAAAGAAATATTAATAAGCATCAAAGCTCAGCAAAATTTTTCCTTTGATTGGTTAATCCTAAAAGGGAAAAAAAAAATTATTTTGGTGCATAGCTTTAATTTTTGACAGCCCCTCCTCGATCGAATAAGCCGAGAGTAAATTTTCATTGGTGCACCGAATCCCAGTAATGGTGAAATATAGTTAACTAGGTCAAGCGAGCAAAAAAATCTTACAAATACAAGTATAACGATCGCAACTAAAAAAGCTTCACCATGAGCGCGAAACCCATTTAGTACTAACGAACGACAAATGTTCGAAAGTACGAAAAAAGCCAACGAAAGATAACGATAAAAAAATAATATACACTCGGTACAAAGTGTAAGAAGTAAAATAATTAAAACTTCTTCATCGTTGTCCACATTCGCAATCCGAATCGTGACGTCACGGCAAGCTCGTTAGAATCGACGAAGGTAGGGAACGAGAGGTGCTTTACGTCTCTTTTTTATGTTTTCTTCGCCGACCCCATCTTTCTCCCCTCCAAGAATTTTTCTTGCCCATTTCCACGTTCTAATCGTCACGTTTTCTCGGAAATGAAAAAAGTTGCGTAATAACCAAGCGCTGTTTTGGCTCGTACCAGCGCAAGTTCGCGACGAAATTTACGTATAGGTAAACCCAAGGGGTTAGGGAGGGGGGTGAAACTTATAATGGCCCCAACGAGGGAACAAAGGAGAAAAGAAGAGACGAGAATAAGGTATGACATGCAAACAAGGTACGAGGTTAATGAAGGACATTACTTTTGCCAGCTCGGGAAACTTCGATCGATACGTCGTACGTGAAAGCTGTACGAAGAAGTAGCCTATATATCTTTAAAAAAAAGTAGCCGGACGTTTCTCTTGCGTCGACGTATGGAAACAGCGATGGATCAACGTCAAGTGTCGCCTGCAGGCAACTCAGTCACTGTGCGTGTACACAAACGTGCTTTCTTTAAAAAATAAAGCCGCAAACCGGACGAGGGGGTACAATCCGGAGTTTGACCGCCCCAATTTTTCTTCCCAGCCCCTCTTATTTTTAACTCTCTTATCCTCCCCCGGAGCTCTCGTTTTCTCCCGCAATAAGTAAGGAGAGAGTCCATATTATCTTCTTTTATCGCGAGCGCTGTAACTCACGACCCCCGCGTCCTAAGCCAATGATCGCGGCCCCCCGAGCCGTAGCTGTAGGTGGCAATTTTCGAGATCTCGTGCAGACACCTCACATGCCTTCGATTTTTTTTCACGCAGACCTTGAGGGGGGAGCAAATTCGCGGGAGACAGCGTTAATGACGCGTGCTTGAAGCTTTTCTTGGTGCGAGTGGGCGGAAAAAATTGATAGCACCGAGTTGGGGAAGGATCCGACCGCTAAGGTACGGACGTGTAGGTTGGAATTTGTGGTTTTTGAAGACAAGATTTTTAGACTTTTTTTTCCCCCTTTTCTAGGAAAACTTTAGATTACGCGTGATTTGGTCACACAGATAAGTTGAAAATCAAATGAGGGTGGCCAAGTAAAATTTTCAAATTGATTTACTTCGCGTTGAATCCACTACCAAGACAGAATTTCAGTAGCTACCACTTGGAGTTATATGGTACAAAATTTTCTCTTCAATTTCCAGCCTTTCTTGCTGCGATTTTGTAGACATTTTTGCTGCTGCAAACATGCATTACATTAGATTTTTGTTCTTTTTTGTGAAAAATTCCAATATGTAAGTTGATTTGAGTTAAAGACTTGAAAGAAATAACTTTATCGTTTGACTCGGATGGGTTGGTTTCATTTTAAACGTACAGTAATTAATCCGAAATCAACTTAATATTAGGATTCGCAACCTACGTGTTCTCGACAGCTCTACTGGTCAAGTACACGCAAATATTCGACGTGGAGAGTATCAGCTTGAAAAAAATTACGTGTGGTTATTGGCAGGTCATTGCCATCTTGATAGCCAACCTCTCGAGGTGCGCCCCCAGCCGAAGCTTTTTCTTTATCGAGCATCGGCTCAAGTGTTTTCGAAATAAATTTTTCCGAAGCACTCGACTCGTCTGACAATGGAATAGCTGAGCTTAATGCATCGCCAGCAGCGACAAAAGGGAGCCGCTCTCTCTTTCTCACGCTCCCTGGGACTTGGGCTCTTTTCACGCCGCCGGAAGCAGGACACTTTACAAACGAGGTCGAAGTCTCTCGATGAATCTACAAAATAGCCAATAGCTCCTTCTCGGTGGAGGGCGTCGGGGCTTGGGAGAAAGATCGCGCGAAGACTGCTGCGTCGTTTGCGCCTCGGGACACGGGATTAGTGCCCAACTGCCGCGGGAGCATCTTCTTCCGCTTCGTCTTTTTCACCTTTTTTTTTTTTTTTTTTTTTCTTTTTCTTTTCAGAAAAGATTGACCTCGGTCGTACATTTCTCAATACTTACACCTACATTTTTCAATACTTCCGTACTATTTCAATCACACAGCTCAACCAAATACGCTGATGCACTACAGTATCCAGAACAATGGTTGTTTTTCTTTTCTTGTCAAATGAAACATTTCAAGACATTATTTCTGCTAATAAGTATGAACTTGGAAAAAAAGTTTCATCACGTACGTGACCAACCTTTCCAACAGCGTTTCAATTAAAAAATGCACTTCAGCAAACTACAGCTCGTCTGTATTGACAAACGTAACAGTTTACGAGTCTGTGTGCTGTGCACAAATCCAAAAAAAACCGATGTTCAATCCAAGTGCGTCCCGAAAAAGTAAATAATCCTTATTCTTTTGCGATCAGACGATTGAAGTAGAAATAGTGCGTAATTGCCCGATAGCCCGAAGAATTACTTGTCAGGCAAAAATATGCAACGTGAGTTACTCGAGTTATTCTCATGGATTAATTTTAATTAAAAGCAGCGAAACCCATTAGTTCTAGGGCAGAGCTGTGATTGGGCGCGCGTATGCTACGTTTCCAGGATAAATTTGCCATGCGTGTAAGCAAATATTCGAAAAGCGCTCCTGTAACAGTAGAAAAGGGAAGGTTGAACGGAGCAGGATCAGCTTACACGCAACTTTTCCGAGCTGCTCGTTCGCAAACAGTTTTACGGCAACGTTCGCTCCACCAGTTCGTCCGGTCTCGGACGATATACCCGTAGTTGTCGAATCCACAGTGCGATGTTCGTGCTATTTTTTCATCCCCAACCATCACCGACCTTACATTTCCATTTCGAGTGTTCCCGGTCGTAGTTGACAATGTTGTGTTACTCGAGTATTTTCTTGTTGTTCGCACATTTTGTCGCTCTACAACTATTTTACACCACAGACCTATCTGTGTAAATTTCTGTTATTTTTTACATTTAAACGTTGAAGTAACAATATCAACTTAACTTGGAAGACGAGTCTTCATACTTTCGTTAAATATTCGCTCAGAGCTTTCGGAATATCTTTTCCAAGGCACGTCAAGTCGCATCTTTTCAGCGGAAATGACGCCCACGAGACGCTCGATTGGTCATGTGCTCTGGTTTCGAACTGGTTGAGAAGCAAGTTCCGACCACCGAAGAACTGCGTGTGTCTATGCTCCTTCTTACATGCGGTTGACTCGTGAATTTTTTCTTGCCAAACGGCCGTCCGATTGCATCTCCGTCATTCTCTAGTTCGTGAAAATTGGTGTTTACACCGATACGTTGGCAAAATGTTTCGTGATACGTGAAATACATTAAATTCATCCTTTTGTTTTTCGTGCAAAAACATTTTAATGGCGAATTTTTAATTTTTATAAAAGCCATTTGTTTCTTCATAGCCCTTCTTGACGATGATGCAAAAACCATAAAACAAAGATTTTTCATATATGCGTAAGATTGGAAAAGATGGAGAATAAAGTGCACGAGTACACCCAACGACTCGCGCCTACAAAATCAATACCGATACGAAGTTCCCTCGTACACAGTTGCATATATATGTAATACACATCAAGATCGAAACGGGAGCGTATAACAACAATACCGAGGGAAAAGAGGCTCGTAAGCTCTCGGCGAGCGTTTCCCCTTCAAAACTTACCGAGTTTAAAACCCCCTGAAAACGATGAATAAGGGAATAAAGCCCCCCTCCAGTCGTCACTCGCGTCGAAACTCACAAAGAAAAGCCGCTCTCTGTTCTGTCTCCCGTGTGCCCTTCGGCATCCAACCGTACCTATTCTACCCCCTCGTACGAAACCTTCAGCTCATAATTGATTTAAAATATCACACGGTATTTCAACGCAAATCCATAGTAGTCGGCTAATACTTTTCTCTTTCACCGACAGACGTCGCCTTCAATAATTAGCCGAGCCAAAGCCTCTTCTGGTCCCCCTGGCATTCTGTCGCTCCAAAGGCCGACCTTCAAAGTATCATTTTGCCGACACCCCCGTATTACAGGCTTGTTTTCTCAAAGTCTTTGAGAGGATTCTTGCACGACAGTGGAAGCTAAATAGATGAGCGCGTTAACCCAGAGATAAAGTGAGAGTCCAAGTGGGATGAAAGCGTAGTACGATGGAGGCTTTTCCCAATCCCAAA